TTTTTTGCCCATGAACCCCATCAGCCCTAGGTATAGGTCGTGGTTAGCATGGTGGGAATTGCAGTCCATCAACATCTGGATGGCCATATAGAATCATAGAATTATAGAGGTGGAAGAGACCTCATGAGCCATCCAGTCCAACTCCCTGCCAAGAAGCAGGAAAATCGCTTCTTGGCAAAGCACCCCCAACAGATGGCCATCCATCCTCTGTTCAAATGCCTCCAAAGAAGGAGCCTCCACCACTCTTGTACAGATCAAATTGCTTCATCCAAGTCATTTTTGGAATGATAGACAAAAAGAATGCCAGTCTATTGTATGTTAAAACTCTTACAGTCTGTAACTTACAGTCTGTAACTGAACCTTTGTTTATTTTTGAACAGTGGAGAAAAGTGAATCTGGGAAAACACCTGACAATGATTTCTGGGATATTAGTGGTCTTCTGTGGAACTTCAAAAAATTAAAAGCGAGGCATAATTTTGCATCAACATCTATATTAAATGAGCATGAAGTGGCTTAACCCCTCAATGAGAAATGAAACATCCAGTCTTTCTAAACACCTTTGTTTCTTGTGTGTGAACAATCATCAGCTTCATTCTCATTGTATTTCTCAGAATCCATTCAAGCTACTGTCCCAGTTCCATATTTTGTTCCTAGAGATATTTGTTTGTTCAGAATAGTGAAATTGTACATGAATTTCATGCATGAAATTTTTCATCATTCTAGAGCCACCTTATGTCCCAGTTTCAGGACAAAAGTGGGAAATAAATGAATGCGGGTCAAACCTGCCCCAGGGACTTTGACAACAGAGCAGGAGTATGAAACATCTGTAAAGAACCACATAGAGAAAAAGGATGCTTTTCCCTATCAAACAACTATATAATTAATTGTAATGTAAGAAAATACAAAGTGAAGCTGTTGTTCCCTTTTCAGCCATATCAACAAAATCTTGTGCATGTGCAGGCATGGGCAAACTTTTTAACTTGGGGGACGCATGCTAGCACTCCCTGCTAGGCGGACTGTTTGCTGGTGATGGAAGGAAGGAAAGGAAGGAAGGAGGAAGGAAGGAAGGAAAGAGGGAGGGAGGGAAGGAAGGGAGGAAGGGAGGGAGGGATGAAGAGAAGGATGGGTGGAAGGAAGGGAAGGATAAAGTAAAGAGAAGGGAAGTAATAAAAGGGAAGTAAAGAGAGAGGGAGGAAAGAAGATAGGAAGGACAAAAAGGTGAAAGGGAAAGATGGAAGGAGGGGCAAAAGGGTGGAAGAGAAGGAGAAAGAGGGAGGGAAGAAGGAAGGAAGGATAGGATGGTGAGAGACAGGATGGCTTGAGAAAAAAAATCTAAGGGGCCGCATCAGGCTCCTGGGCCTGGGTTTTCCCATACCTGATCTTGGGGGGTACTCACAAAACAGTCCTGATGAAAGCGCAAGACCATTTTTGGAGAAGTATCCCTAGCAAATGCAGTTCCTTGTGCTTTGGACAGCATATTGCCAAAAATAAATTAATATATAACTTCATGTTTGTTGTGGATTTGCTGTCAAAATCCTTGCTGGAGAAGCATGCTGTTAAGAAGCCTTTCTGCACAGTTTGAGTTCTGCATTGCAATTAGCATGCTCTGCATCACAAAACTCAGGAACAAGACTCAATTCCCCTCGAAATAGCTGTCTTCTTCCCTGGTGCTCAAGAGCTGCACTGCTTTAGGCCTTACTCTTCTTTTCAAATCAATAGCCCAGCACCCACAGGTAAGGTAAGCACAATGTGAAAAATACCTGTGCTCCACAGAAAGAAAAGAAACAATATCTCTGACACCGTTAAACCTGAAGGTTATCAAGAAAATGTAAAAAGAAAAATTAAGATGTTGAACACACAATGCTTTACATTAATCTCAAGGAAGGAGGCAGTCATTTAGGAAGGAACAGAAACAAGTACCAGGGTGCCTGACTTTTTGGATGCAGGCAGTGTTAACTGCAATGGAGGCATCATAGGGTAAAGTGGCCTGATGGGTCAGCAGCAACAAGGTTACTCTGCAAAGCAAATTCAGTGATAATAGACAATTTACGTAGGGCAGCATAAATGAGCTGGGGCAGCTGACACACAGCTTTCTACAGAGGGTTATAAACTACAGACGGGAATGTTTTCCAGAGATATGAGTGGTAGGAAGTCCAAATGTGGATCTGTTTGGAACAGGTGCCGTACAGATCCTTTTTCCATATGCCTCCTCAATTAGTGCGTCTGTTAAACTGGCTGTAATAGTCTATAATGACCTAATTATTGGTTTAGCTTCAGCAAACTAATTTGCATAAAGCCCAACAAGCTGGCATCAGGAAATTGTGGAAAATGTTCAGGTTTGTATGGCAAAATATCTATGGAAAAGTGGATTCTAAGCTGCATCAGCAGGAGAATATTATCAGGGAAAGGAAGCAATAGGTCAGTTTGGTCAGGCCAGTAACGGGAACATTGTGTGCAGTAGTTCCATGCTGCATAGTTCTGTGAAGATATTGACAAGCTGAAGCATAACCAGAAGAGGGCAACCAAGATCATAAAAGGTCTGGATGTCAAGCCCTATGAAGAACAGCTCCAGGAGCTGAGTGTATTGGCAAAGCGAAGAAGATTCAGAGCTGTTCTGATAGCCTAGTTAAATAGCCAAGGGGATATCATGTAGGAAGACACAACGAGCTTGTTTTCTGCTGCTTCAAAGACAAGAACATGAACTGATGGATTCAAATTATGAGGAAAGAAGTAGCAGATAAACATTAGGGAAGAGTTCTTTCACAGCTATGTTTCAAAAGACAAACAAAGTGCACTTTGCTTTTGACATTAAAGCCTGCTTTCTAAAAAAGGTCTTTGCTGGCTGGCAAAAGGAAAGCTTGCCTATCCTCTGGCAGAAGGGGGTCCTTGGGAGTGGGAGCAGCCATCAAGAAGGCTCTGCTTTGGAGTCTGCACCAGGGGGATCTGTGACGGGGCCAAGAAAAAGCTCTCCTCGCAGCTCTTAAAGAGCTCTGGCAGGTTCATATTGGGAGATGCAGTCCTTCAGATAGTCTGGACCCAAGCCCTCTAGGGCTTCATAGGTCATGGCCAACACCTGGAAGAAGAGATTAGGCCGGGCATGGGCAAACTTTGGCCCTCCAGGTGTTTTGGACTTCAACTCCCACATTTATTTATTTATTTATTTATTTGCAGTATGTGTATTCTGCTCTTCCCACCCCGAAGAGGCATAGGGCGGACCAAAGAACACATATACGACAAACACTTAATGCTGATTGTACAATGACAAGAGAGTTCGATGCCGTGGGCAGAAAGCAATACTCCAGAGAACTTCTGCCAGCTCGAATGGCGAACTACGGTGCCTGCATGGGAGCATACCAGCAAATTTTGTGGGAGAAGACTCAGCCCTTCCACGCTAAACTTTCAGAGGAAGACTGTGCTGTCCACTTGACCCTTTTTCAAGAGGTGAATTCTTTGGCCCATCACCAAATCCAGATGACCAAACACACTGGTGATATGGCAGGAAAGATGATAATAATGTATCTAGTGTATCTAATACATTTGCTTTTCTCCACACTTGCATGTTGTGGACTCCAGTTAAGATTGACTCTGCACCTCGTGTTGTCACAGTGCAGCCTGTTCAACACCTTTCAAGTCTCCCAGTCTTCTGTGTGCCCAGGAGGGAGTCTCTCATTTGGTATCAGCCATGGATTGAGGTTCTAGGTTTTAGCCTGCCACTTTTGGACTCTTGCTTGCTGTGGTGTTCCTGCAAGTATCTCTGTAGATAATTCAAGCTATTTCTTGATTTAAGGCATTGGTGTGCTGGCTGATATCTGAACAGAGGATGGGCTGGAGATGTCACTGCCTTGGTCCTTTCACTATTGGCTGCTACTTCCTGGTGGTGATCCCCAGATTGTGCGAGTTAGCTTTCAGATGATATTATTTCTAGCACCCACGTTTTGTTTGATATTCTAGCAGTGCTTCTTGTAGGTCAGAAAATGGTCCAGGGTACCTCCCAGGCAGGCATGTAGCGGGGGGGGGGGGGGGGGTTCCTGTAAACTGGCAGACTGTGCAAAAAGAGCATGTCCTTCAGCAGTGTCCAGGCAGTGATAGGGGGGGGGGGGCTTGAGGGGCTTCAGCCCCCCCCCCCAGAAATTCTCATGGTGGTTCGCGAAAAGGCCTTACTGGTGCATTATTTAAACTGTTATGTTTATTCATATCATGATCTGATCACCATACTCAATATATCCCATATGCATGGGGGTATTGGGGTAATGATACAAAAGGTTTGCTAGGGTAGACCCTCTTTCACTCAGACTCACCCCCCCCCCCCCCCCCCCCCCCCCGCCCCTCCCGAATGGAAATCCTGGCTACGGGCCTGCTCCCAGGTATTTGGGTGTGCTGCAGCACTCCAGTGAGAATCTTTCCAACTGTCATAATTTCATCATAGAATCATAGAGTTGAATGAGGCCTCGTGGGCCATCCAGTCCAACCCCATTCTGCCAAGAAGCAGGAAAATCGCATTCAAAGCAGCTCCGACAGCTGGCCACCCAGCCTCTGTTTAAAAGCTTCCAAAGAAGGAGCCTCCACCTTCTTTGAGCATTGAGCCAGGGCAGCTAAAGTGGTGTCACAGGGCATTAATTCTGCAGTGTAGATGCACCCTGGAGCAAAGAAATTCCCCCTCCCCTCTCGCATCGGTGTGTGTCTGTCTTTGCGTGAAAGTGATAGACAGAGAGAGAGGCGGGGAGCCTCCAGCCCAGCCCCTGGCATATAATGTAGGGCGAGCTGCCCGCCATACACGCAGCCCCGTCTTACTCTAAATGGGACTATAAATGGCAGAGAGTGGAAGCCCCGGCTCTGCTTGATCCGCTCGAGGCTCCTTCCCATTTCCCACTCACTCGCCCCCCGCGTGCCGCCGCGCGTCGTTCGGCTTCAGCCAAGGTGGGTCCAAAGAGGCGGTGGTTGGTTCCGCGCGTGCCCGGCAGGGGGCGCTGCTGCTGCTCCTGCTTTTGCTGCCTTGCTTTCCTGCGTGTGCGGGGCGCGCGCGGGCGAGAGGTGCGGTATTGGGCGCGAGTGGGGATCCAGCGGTGGCAGCCTGCCTTTTTTTATCTGTGGAGCTGCAGCCGCAGAAGCGGGAAGGGGGAGCTCGCGCCGGATTTCTATTACGCTTTGAACCCGCGTTGGGACTGGACATGCCTTGGCACGGCGGACCGAGGAGGAGGAGGAGGAGGGCATAGCGCGGGTGAGTAAGAGTAGTGAGTAGGAGCCGCCTTCTAGATCCACACGATACGTAGACACGCATGTGGCAGAGGCTGGGCACCCGTGAGCGCCGGAGCCAGCGCCATAGCGGTTGGCCAACCATCAGAAACTCCTGCGAACGTGGGGAGACTTTTCTCCACCGTTATCACCATCAATCACTACCATCACCATCATCCTTATCGTCGTCATCATCATCATCAGGAGGGATGTTGGTTGCCTAAAGGATTGGCTTCTCCCTTGGCTGCCCATATCCATGCACCTGGCAGAGGGAGTCGCCATTAGGATGAACGAGCAGCCCTTGGATGCATTTACACCGCTGAAGGAATGCCGTTTGACGCCCCTTTCACTGCCGTCCTCCAATGCTAGGGAATCCGGGAAGATGTAGTTTGGCCGGGCACCTGCTCGCTTTGGCAGAGACAGCTCAGGATCTTCTCAACTCTCATGTTTCTGTAGCATTGAGCCATGGCAGTGAAAGTGGAGCCAAACTGGAGAAAATGCACTTCATATGTGTGTGTGTGCACAAATAGGAAGCTAGAAGGCTGCAGGGACCTGTTGGGTCCATTGTGCCCAGATTTGCCAGCTCTCCAGGGTTTCCCACAATGATTTTTTCCCCCTTCTCAGAAGTCCCTGGCATCACCTGATGAGTGACTTCCTGCCCAAGGATGGGAAGAAGAAGAGGTTGCATCTGCACTCCAGTTCATGCCCTTTGAACTCCACTTTCCCTGCCTTGGCTCCATGCCATGGAATCCTGGGATTTGTAGCTTGCCCTCTTTGGCAGAGAAGGTGAAAAACCTTGGAAAACAACACACCCCATTGATTCCATCTATTGAATATCAGGAGTTGTAATGATCTACATTTTTAAATTAATGCAGTTGTAAAACAACAACTCTAAAGATTGGGTTGTTGTAGGTTTTTTTTGGGCTATATGGCCATGTTCTAGAGGCAACCCAGTGATTCTGGCCATGAAAGCCTTCGACAATACATTGAACTCTAAAGATTCCATACCAACTAATGTAGTATCAAACTGCAGTAATTTTACAATGTAAATCAGGCATGGGCAAACGTGGGCCATCTAGGTGTTTTAGACTTCAGCTCCCATGCAGAGCCAGAATAGGTCATCACTGTCACTTACAGACCCACTGCCAACACAATCATAATGGGCCATGATTATAATTTTTTTCTGTGTCAGGAGTGACTTGAGAAACTGCAAGTCACTTCTTGTGTGAGAGAATTGGCTGTCTGCAATAACATTACCCAGAGGATGCCTAGATGTTTGACCATCCTGTGTGAGGCTTCTCTCATGTCTCCGCATGAGAAGCTGGAGCTGACAGATGGGAGCTCACCCGACTCCCTGGATTTGAATCACTGACCTTTTGGTCAGCAGTCCAGCCAGCACAAGGGTTTAACCCATTGCGCCACCGGAGGCTTCCATGATGAAATGATTTGGCCATGATCTCCCATGATGAAATGATTCCATAGTGTTGAACCATGACAGTTATAGTGGTTTCAAACTGCATTCGTTCTCTAGAGTAGACACAACCTCATCATAGCTTCTCAAATCTCAAAGGATGGGATGTGTTCACTGTGGGGTGGTGGAAACACTGGCTCTTTCAGGAAATGTTGTGGGGTCACTTTAAGGCAGGCATGGGCAAACTTTATCCCTCCAGGTGTTTTGGACTCCAACTCCCACCATTCCTAACAGCCTCAGGCTCTTTCTTCCCCCCCCCCCCCCCCCCCCCCCCAACCCATGGCTGACACCAAATGTTTGCCCATGCCTGCTTTAAGGCGATGGGCCATTTAGCCTCTCCTGGCATTGCTCACTGGCAGGCGTCTCATGTAATATTGCACTTCCCCATTGATTGGTGTTTGAAGCCCAGAGTGGATTAGGAAAGACAAGGCGATGCGGGCTTGTTGGTTGGGAAGCGGAGTGAGATTAATGAGGTTGACCTCTCCGGTATTCTCCATGGAAAAGGCTTAGCCCCAACCCCTTCTGAACTGTATGTGACTGGGAAAGTCTATAATGTGTATTGAATTCAGTGAAATCAAAGTGGGAATACATCAATTCTTCAAGTTGCTGAAGTTGGCTGCTAATCTCACTGCTGTGTGGAATTAAAAGTTGCAGATGGTGTCTCCCCCCGCCCCCTCTCTACATTCTTTATTTGGAAGGACAGGCATATCATTTGAAAATTGATTTCCAAATATTGTTGCTCTATCAGTGGGGAAGGGTAGGCATTCTGTAGTCTTGACTTCTGATGGATTATTTTAGTAGACACATAGACCCATTCGTCACTTCACTAAACGGCTGAGCCGGGTTTGTTTCCCCAAATAAGTGTGCATATTATTGACAGTTGATGATAATCTTGTCTTTCCTTAATTTTGATTCACCTATTAATCACATGGCCCCCTGGTGGAGCAGTGGGTTAAACTGCTGAGCTGCTGAACCTGCTGACCGAAAGGTTGGCGGTTTGAATCCAGGGAATAGGGTGTGCTCCCGCTGTTAGGCCCACCTTCTGCCAACCTAGCAGTTTGAAAATGTGCAAATGTGAGTAACTCAATAGGTACTGCTTTGGCAGGAAGGTTACATGACTTTGGAGGTGTCTACAAACAATGGTGGCTCTTTGGTTTAGAAATGGAGATGAGCACCACCCCCAGGCATGTAGCCGGGCGGGGGGGGGGGGGGCTTGAGGGGCTTCAGACCCCCTCCCCCCCGAAATTCTCATGATGTTTTGCGAAAAGGCCTTACTGGTGCATTATTTAAACTGTTATGTTTATTCATATCATGATCTGATCACCATACTCAATATATCCCATATGCATGGGGGTATTGGGGTAACGATACAAAAGGTTTGCTAGGGTAGACCCTCTTTCACTCAGACTCAGCCCCCCCCCCCGAAACAAACTCAGTCCCCCCCCCGAATCGAAATCCTGGCTATGGGCCTGACCACCCCCCAGAGTGAGACACGACTAGACTTAATGCCAGGGAAAACCTTTACCTTTACCTTTATTAATCACATGATGTGTTTCCAACAGGTTATCTATTTATTGTGTCAGGAGCGAACCAAACAGTTGTATTGCATTAAAAACAAACAAACAAATAAAACACAAAGGTTGCAAGCTTGGTAGTTGATTAAATGTCCTTTGACCAGTATCTGGCCACTTGGAGTGCCTCTGGTTTTATTTTAAGAAGATCCTCCAAACTACCCAAGTTTGATATTACTTCAGTTGTTATAGCTGTATAGTGTGGAATCCCAAGAGTTGTAGTTTTACAAGAGCTTTAGTTTTCTCACCCAAAGAGGGCTGGTGCCTTGTCAGACTACAACTCCCAGGAGTCCATGCCATTGAGCCATGACAGTGAAAATGTTCACATACTGCATTAATTTGAAGTGTATATGTACTGCTTTAAATTATGTCTGAAAGAAGAAGTTTCATATGCACTTGCACTTCCGATTACTCACTTACTTGGAAAAGTAGTCCAATTGAACACAGAGATATTTGCTTTTGTGTAGACATAATGTGGCACATAACTTATTTTGGTGACATCAGTTCTCTTTGATGAGAATTGTGGGAAAAGAACCATCTGATTAAAATACTGCCATTAATTCTTTTGCAAATCACAGTTAAGAAGAGTTTTTAATTTGGCTTTGAAGCACTTCTTTGAAGCTAAATCATGACAAGTACAGTCTCGGTTCAGGCACAATTTTCTAGAAACAAAATTTAATTCAGATTAAATCAGCTGTTCTTAGAACAGATGGAATGTTGAACTGTTTTAGAGTTGGGAGTGAGCTACTGAATATATGTTTCATATATTCATGAATATATATATAAATATAACCGTGGCATTTTGTGGGAAGCCGATGTTATGTTACATTTTTGAAAAAAATAGAAATACTTAAATTGATACTCTAAATTTATGCGTGTTGATATAATCTGAATATAAAAATTATTTTTCATAATAGTTGGATATGGTGTGAGTTTTTTACAAGCTGTACTGACGAAGATCCTCTCCTGTGAGCAGATGTGCAGCTGGAGCAATTAATAATACAGCAGAGCAACTTCCACGTGTTCTTAATGATTCATTTAATTCTGTACTTGGCCTAGTGAAAGTGCACAGTAAGCACTGATAGCATGTGTGATGTGAATAAACTGGCTACCTGGGTGTTTAAAAGTCACAGAAAAGAACCACATTTATTTTTCTCTATTTCTCAAGAATGGCAATTGAACAGATCACATGTTACCCTGGAAATGCATTCATTTCCAAGACCTGCAATCCACCGTGAAAGGAAAAATAATGTGCACACCTCAAATATGTATATACAGTCCAAAATTGGCACAATCAAAAATACATAGAAATCTTTTTTTTATTTTTTTACCACATTTGTACCCCACCCTTCTCGCCTTGGAGGGAACTTTACAACAGTCAACAATTTGATGCCATATAGATACATGTATATATTATATGTGTATATTAGAATACATACCAAATTTTAATTTATTAAATTTATCCCACATGTTTGTCCCAAAACATAAGATGTCTTTAACATGTTCATGCATGAAATATATGAACAATTACATTGTTTTGAACAAACAAATATGTAATAGGGACCAAATATGGAACTGAGACAGTTGCTTGAAGAAATTGTGAGAAATACAATGAGAATGAAACTGACAAGTACTCATAGACTCCTAATGGAAACAGAGGTGTTCAGAAGGACGGATTGTTTCATTTTTCACTGAGGGATTAAGCCACTTCATGGCTATTTCATATAGATGTTAAAGCATATTTATGTCTCCATGAGGACAGCTGTCACTAAGCATTGTATTTCAAATCAGCTTGCTTTTCTTAACTGAGCATTGTGTATCTTTAAGTCCCAAAATAGAGATTTAACATTAGGAGGTAGATGTTTATTCAGTTTTTATGCCTTGATGATTTAGTAGCAATTATTTTAAGAAACATTCTTGCTCATCCATCTGACTCAAAAGAAG